AGGGGAAAATTTCCTTCGGGTTGCGACCAATTCGGGGTGCGACCAGAGTCACGGAACGAATTAAGTTCGTAACCCGAGGCTCCACTGTAATGTGTGCAATCTAAACTAGTTGGCCTAGACTGTGAGAGTCTTTCTCTCAGGATGCATCATGACAGTTCCCTGAAAATCAAAGAAGGTATCCCCAGTTAGTCCAATGGGAAATGAATGAGCAGCATTGGTGTAAGTGCATATTTAGTTGCTTCTTATGTCCTTTCATTGAGATATGAACAAAAACACGTTATATTTGTTATTCTGCCCCCACCTCTATATCTGAAGTGGCAAAATGAGCAGCAAGGTAAACTTGGCGCTATATTTCCAACTACCTAAGATGACAAATTTTGCATTTTTAGCACTGAAGCACGTACCAATATATTGTGCCAAACTCAAAACTTGTGTTTATCCAAAAACTCTTGCAGAGCCCCAGGTGGGTATAAGGGATCGTATGGTTCTTAAAGTATGTTCCATGGAACAACAGTGTTCTCTGAACAACCTGAAGATGTTCTTTTAGCTAGCTCTGAGATCCAAGAGCAGTGTGTGTGTGTGGATCTGTTCAGTTTTGCTATCCAAACAGATCTCCATCTATGAGTGAAGGTGTGATGCTGGCAGATCTATCATCAAACTCCAACATTAACAGGCACACACATACAGAGACCAAAAGACAACGTTCACAGAGGGTGTGACCTTTAAGAAAAATGGTGCTGAAGGCTCTAATGAATTTTCCTTCAAACTACCTTTTCTTTCAACATATCCTTGTGAAAATAGATATTCAACACTCGCAACAGCTAAGGTACTGAAACAGACTGAAAAGACGGAATATTATATCAGTTCTGAAGCTGTATCCACATTACACTTTTAACCAGGTCAGGTAAAGATCTAGTAGATACATTTCTGGCACAACACAAAGTCAAATTAGGCTTGGCTAAGGATTTTTTTTTTAATTATTATTATTATTATTATCATAGTTCAACATGTGGTGTGAACCCAGCTCATTTGATCAGTTCAACATATTGTGTAAACCCAGGAAAAAGAGGTAATTCAATAACCACATTAAGCATATTATGTGAACAGAGCTAAAAACTTTCATTAACAAATCTCTATCCAGATATTGATGAAATACACAATCATATTTGTCTGTGTGTGTGTTAAAAATTCCTCTTTCACCCCTATGGGTAGTATGTGTTTTCCTCAATCTTGGGTCCTCTACCAGAGGCCTGGGAGTTTGAGGGTTCTGCACAGTAA